ATACTTTTCCAAAGAACCTTATTCAGTTCTTAGTAATTCCTTGCACGTGGGGAAATGGGGGAGATGTAAACACAAGAGGGATAGAATATATGGAGAAGGGAAGCCAGGGTAACTAGGGGAGCAGACTGCCTGGCTGAGGTAATCTTCACCACTCTGTTCCCAAAGGTCTCCCAGGGTCTGTGTTCCTGTTCCAACAAGCTTCAGCTGCCTCTGCAGCTGTTGTGTCTTTCTTTCATCTGTAGTGGAGAGGTAGAGGAGAAGGGAAGAAGAACAGCTGGGAAGGGGGGGCGGTGCGGGGACACAGGCAGATTCTACTTTAGATTGCCTTTAAACTTTCATTGCTGCCACTTTCATTGCTGTCTTCTGTCCCCACTGCTTCATCAACCAGGCTGAAGGTCACCTTAAGTGGCAAAGAAAAGAAGGGAAACCTGGAGACAGGAAGACTCCTTCCCCTCAGTCTTCACCTGTGCTCACATATAGGTATATTTCTGTATCGTGCTGTGCTTTACTGCGCTTCACACGTGTGTTTTTTTACAAAGGGAAGGCAAAAAGATTACTTCTTTTATTGTGATACTCACTTTATTACGGTGGTCTGGAATTGAGCCCTCATTATTTCTAAGGTGTACCTGTGCTGGCTTCATTGTGATAGTCTGGAACTGGACCTGTAAGAACTCTGAGGTACAGCTGTATTTCCCCTGCCTTCTCTGACTCCTTACCAAGAGTGAGCAAGGGCCCCTCATCCATTAATGAGCTCCTTAAATGATCTCCACAATGTTCCATGAAAATGTAGGCAGTTTGGAGTGCCTTTGCTCCTCTTAAGGTCTTTGAGGGTTTGATGGGGAGAGTCCAGGGAATTTATAAGATTCTTAGATATACCCTCGACTTAATTTTGGCTCAACATAACCTAACCCATTCGTGCTTTTTTACTTCTTTAATGTTTTTTGGCTTCTCTCTAACTCTTCATCAGCCCTTACCTTGCTTCTATGGCCTCTCCTAAATACCTAACCACTGTGTGCACAAAGCTGTTTCCATTAGAAAATAACTACAAATGATATACAAAGGAAGTCTGCATACAAAACATTTCAAGATTAGAGACAATGTATAATACTTGTTAAAATAAAATAGTAGGAAAATCATATGCTGGCCTGAGACAATATCTGCCCCCCCTCCCTGCCCACACACAAGAATTTTTAAAAAGAAAGAAAAATATTTCTAAATCCTTCATTTAGAATCCTGAATCATCTGAACTAAATGTTTGAATGCCTAGGAAGGCCTGGAGTTGCTATGTGCTCTTGGGATCACAGTACTCATATCCTTTATCAACTCTGTGACTGAGTAAATATTATCAGACAACCTTAGAATTAGAAGCTTAGGTTCTCTGACCAAAAAGATTGTCCAAGCTTAAAAGACTCTTTTGACAGAATATTTCTCTTAAGGTTTAACAAACCTGGAAACGATAAGCTCTAAAATAATGACCATCCACATCAAACATTTCTTTTCTATCTCTTATATTAAAAGTTCTTCTTTAAATCCGTAAACCACTTTCTTGTCTTATTTGAAAAGAAAAGATTATTCTAAAAGTTTTTCTTTAAAAAATATTGTGACATTCATGTTTTCATATTTTCTGACATTGGAGGAGATTAGTCGAGTACTCTATACCTATTTTTAAAATACTACATATAATGCATGTATTATACATACACACTAGGAATGTATATACGAACACCATTATTTTATTTTGTGCTGATCCCATTAATAAGAGAATTAGATATAGGACAAAATGAGAAGAATATATCTTTCAGTTCTGAGTTTCAGTAAGTATTTCAGAATTGCTATTTTAAAAGGTTATTCATGAAACACAGCATTAGAGGTCTCTTCCTAATTTTACTCTTTGTCTCTCCTGTGGAGACATGGTAGTTGATGTGTGGACCATTATGCAAAAAAAAAAGTAGATTACTATGACTGGTGTCTGACATTGTCACAGAAATATGTATTGAAACCATACATTGCGGTTGTTAGGGCACGCAAGATTGGAGCTGCAAGGCAGAGCTGGTTTCAGAGTGGTGCTGGCATAAACGGTCCCGTGAGGGAGCAAGAAATTAATTATAATCTTCATGACTTAGTGGCTTACAGTTCTCCATCTATCCTCAATATAACCTCCACACAGGACAGAGTCTCAATGAGTTCATGTTGATGTTCATATTTACAGGAAAAGGACAAATGTAATGTGATTCCGTTCTAAACTATGGTTAGAAAATGTAATCTGTGCTCTCGGATCATGCCCAGCTTCAGATAATAGACATTAAAGCCCCAATTTTAAATTGCTTAACATTATAATTCTCTCTGCAGAATGTCTCTTTTGCTTCTTAAAACTTAATATTAAGTTTCAGTCAGATTTTCTACCCTTCTTCTTTCGGTTGCCACATCAGGAGACAAAGAGAATAAAAGCGTCTGCCTGAAGCAAATACACTGCAGTTCACTGTTGAACAGATTCCCAAGAAACCAAACAGAAAAAGAATAAAAATGAGAGCCGTGTTTTATGAAATGTCTTCTACACCTGCTTCCTTTATGTTCGAGACCTGTTTACCTAAACACATTGGATATCTTTAATTTTTTAAAGCCACAAAGCATATGAACTAGTAGTTATTTTTGTCATTGCACTGAACATTTTTCTCATAATATTAAATTCTTACAAATAATGGCCTATTATTAAAAATAATAATGTTTTGCATATGTGGGGGATCTCCATGAAAGCTTTTCAGCTGCCAAAGGTTATAGTTGCTAAGCAGATTGGTTATTTACTAAGCTAGCATGGTAAATAAAAAGAATATTTAAACAGCTGGTATCTCTGTGATGCTACCATTTTTCTTCACCAGAGTATGACCAAATGTAATATTTGACAATTTTAGAAAATGATGATGAAAAAAATTGATTATGCAACTTACATTTTATTTTTAACATTATACTAAAATAGTGTGCAATCCACACATTTAAGTCTATTTTAGAATTAAAATAAATGATCTTAACCTACACAATTTAATTTATCTTTTGGGGTGACACACTATTTATTAATGTCCATTATTTGGGAGACTACAAATATTCAGATTTTAAAAAACTATACCTGATTAATTATAACCTGATTAACAACCAATAATAAGTACATATAACGTTCATACTTTAGTCAGACTTTTTTAGTTTTTACCTGTCATTTTTCTTGAGTATTAGGATACCACATTACCTTCAGTCATTGTGTCTCCCTAAGTTCTTTTTGGCTGTGAAAGCTGTTCAGAGTTTCTCCTTCCTCTTACTTTTTTAAAGATCGTGACAGTTTAGATGAGAACTGGTCATGTATTTAGTAGCATATTTCTTAGAGTTTGCCTGATGTTTTCCTTATGATAATATTTGAATTGAAGTTATAGATTTTGGAAATGGAAAACCACAGGGAAAATGCTGTTCTCATCACCTCATATCAAAGGTACATACTATCAACAACACTTATTATTGTTGACATAAGTCTTGCTCACCTGGCTGAGTAGGTGTTCGACAGCTTTGCCACTGTAAAGTTCCTCTTCTTGCCTCTTTCCATACTGTACTCTTTGGAAAGAAGGCACTATGCACAAGCAACACTTAGGAGTATTTACTCTGTTTCCTTGAAGGTAGAGTATCTTCCTAAATTATTTGGAATGATCCTGCTAGGGATATATATCTATTCTCCTCATTCATTCATTCATTCATTCATTCATTCATTCATGTATGCATTCATCCTTTATATCAGTATGAACTCATATTTATTTATGCTTTGGATTATATTAGTCCATTGCCATTTTATTCTGTTGCTTAAATAGTTCCACATTGTCCTTTGAACTATTTATTTACATATGGAGGTTTCCAGCACAGTGCCAGAAACATAGTTGATGCTCAGTGCATGGTAATTTACTATGAACCTAAATGTAGAAATATGCTCATGGGCTATTTCCTTATTAAGAATTAGAAAATATACTTTATCATGATGAACATAATTCTAAATTGTAGATCCCCACTTGTACTCTTACAAAGAAAAAAATGAGAGGAGACAGTATGTAATTTATTTATTGCCACAATAATGTGGCATTATAAAGAACCACCAGAAGTTAGCAGCAAACAACAATAAACATCTACACAGCTCATGAGTCTGGAGGGCGTTCAGCAGACCTGGGCTGAGTGTGGTGCTTGGCTGGGGTCCCTCGTAGGTGTATGTGGCACGGAATGGAGGAGTAGGAGAGTGACTGGGGGGAATCACCTGGCACTGGTTATGCTGCAGGTGGCTAGCACAATGGAGGAAACACTGCTCTGGTCTCCTCTGAAGGACAGCTGGGTATGTTCTCCTGGCAATGGCCAAGGACAAAAGTGAAGAGAAATGTAATTGCTTTTCTGAAGCCTCTGCTTGAATCACATTTGCCTTCATTTCAGTGGTCAAAGCAAAGCACAAGATGGGCCCCAATGTAACAAGTGGGGAAAGAGATTGTGCCTCCTCAGTGAGAACTACAAAGTCACATGGCAAATGTAGTTTATACAGAAAGGGCTAAAGGATAGGGGCACTGAAGAGCACAGTCTACCATGTCTACCTATGCAAGGTAAAGTGTCTAAGCTCTCCTGGATTTGTGTTTATTGTTTCTGAAATTTGTTTTTGAAGTAAGTTTCCACCTGTTTATGAATTATGACAAGTGGAAGTACAGCATTATCATTAACTGTCATATTTCAAAAACTGTTCTTTCCAAACTGATGACCCAATCACTTAAAAGTATAAGATGGTAATTTACTTTTTAGTTCTATACACATCTTGGATTACAGTGAAGTCTTATTGAACAAATGCTGTTTAATAGGGGTGTATTTTCAATATGAATGAGAATTTCATGCAGCAAAACTTATGAACTGCTCTGTAAAATGAAAGAGTCAGCTAAGCCTGTAAATCTCCATATATACATTTATGCCAGAATTAGATATATGAATAATCTATTCTCAGTGAATATTCAAGAAAGATAAACTCTTACTTATAAAAAGAGGTCTCCATGGAAATGCTATTAAAAGCAGAGTTATTGACAGTTGCAAAGTATACAACTTGAAAATTTATTGTTTTAGGTTTTGTTTAAACTAAAATCAGCTTTTAAGAATTCATGCATATCGAATCCTATTTTTTTCCTGTAGAAAAATTGAAATCAAACGCAATGAAATAAATCCCTTTTCTCTCAAAACATTTGAAAATAATTTAAGAGATGTGATTAAACATAAACTTTTATGTTTACACTTCATGTGCTAGCTACAATCCTGAAGGAAGCAGTATCTATTAAACTTCCCTTAGAAAGCAGCTTATGTTTGAGGCAGCACTTTGCAGTGAAAAAGATAAGAGCTTCAGACTCCGGCAAATCTGGGTTGAAATCCAGATTCTCTCTCTTGTAAAATTGATTTAGCAGAGGGTTCTAACTTCTGTGAGCCTCAGTTTCCTTATCTGTGAAAGGAGGTACAGAGTCTATCTCACACAGTCTCTAAGGAGAATTTAATGGTATATAGAATGTGACATTTAGCACAGAGCTTCACACATAACAAGCTCTTGACTAATATTTTGATATCACTAACTTCCATGAAAACTTTAAGAGTTGCTTAATAACTTACTTCCCAATGGCTATTTTTTTAAAAAGTCTGTCTGTCATATGCAGGGGTACATGGATCTACTGTCATCACTTTTAGATTATCTGCCATATACAACACTTCGATTCAAATGTAGACCTGGAAAAATGCATCCTGCGGGGTCTGGGCAGAGAACATGCCTGGCACAAGCTGGTGTGTCATTACAGGGCTCCATATATGGTCTTGTACTAATCATAATCTCTGAAACTTATCAGGGGCATACATACATTAAGCAGTTTACTAAGCAGCGTGCTCCACCAATATCAGCATTAAATTTTTTTCATTTAGAGAGATGTGTGTGTATACACATTTACAAATTAAGCTGGAGATCTTTGTTCAGAACACTATGAGCTTTGAGAAATGACAGTATAGGATAGGAAAACAGAACTGCAAATACCAAACCAGTTTAAGCACCACTTTTTCCTCCTTCCCGAGCTATGAAATCTCTTGCTTTTTGCTGTAATCTTCAGGCAACAATGTGAAATACATTCCTAAGGACTTTTCTTAGGTATTCTTCTGTTGCTTCCAGATGCTTATAACCAGGCATCCAAGATGATCCCAGGTCCTAGATGCCAAAGTTGGTAAAAGAAAAACAAAATCAATAAATAGATGTGCAATGTGCAGTTTTCAAATCAGAGCTTCCCCTTGTTCAAGAAAACATTCTGATATTCCAGCCAATGAGTTTTGCACTATAAGATTCTGAATAACACATTGCATAGAATCTGTAAATAAGAGTTGTGGCTAAACCACAAATTCTTCCTTTACCATCTTTGATGATACTGAGGAGAAGACTTAGGCTTCTAAACAGAGCTTCATGTTATTTCCATCACAATAAGACATATGTTTGTGCACACTCCCAGAGAAGCTGACACACTGAAAACTGAAATTAGATTTTAATTTAAGATGGTTGGTCCTTGTTTCAAAAATATATACAGAATATTTTGTCTTAGATTTTGAGTATCCTTCACTAAAAGTGTAATATATTAATATATGTAAATATATTCTACATTGGCCTTTTTATCCTTTGGGCAATTACTAAAGTAATTCATAGACCTGCTCTTAGTGGTAAGTAGGGATAAATTAAATTTGTCAGGACACTAAAGCAGCATTATATAAATTATAATCCATTGACCTAAAAGATAGCTAATTCTCTAGAAATGAAACAGTTTACTTAACTGTTGTATAAGTTTATATTGGAATTTTGAGGGTGTTAATGAACTCAGTGTTTAACAAGCTCTTATTGAGTGTAGAGCACACTGAATTTCCTTGTCATTCTTCCCAGTGATAATGGAAGTGTGGTACTGTGGCCCAGTTTTCTGCATGTGAATAGAATTCTAAGTGTAAATAAATACTTTAACTTCTTTTGTGTGTGCTTTAACAGCAAATCTCTGGGAAGAAATCATAGTACAGAAATAAATAAAATCATATATATGGTTTGCTATATTATGCCTTTGCTTCTGCTATTAGTCAGAGATAAGACATTGAGTGAATCCCTTAACTTTTTTCAACTGTAAAATGAAGGTATATATGTTGATGATTTATGAAGCCATTTTAGGCTTTTATATGATTTAATATTATAACTCTCTCTAAAATACAGACTGTACTTTCTCTATATCTAAATTATGCCTATGGTTGTTTATTATTGTACAAAAAAAATAAGGACTAATAATTTACTTCAGTTCCATAGTAGTCAGCAGTGCTGAAACAAGTGGCAAGTCACACAAGGAAAACCATACCATTTAGAGTTGTTAACAGAGAAATAAATGCTCCTGTCTCTTTCTGAAATCTAGTCTGAGTAAATAAGCAGGAGAACATAAACATTGCTGGACATTTCTGAGCATACTCTACGCCCATCACTATTTTCCTCCCATGGTTATTTTATGACTCCGTATCAACATGATGCTATTTATTTCTTCTACATGTAGGGTCTTTAGTAATTAGTACAATGATATTAAAGGATGTATCTGTCATTACTCTTTCAGCTGCAAGTAACAGGAATCTATCTCAAATTAGGCTTACAAAATGAAATTTATTGGGTTACATAACTTCAAGAGAATGGGCTAGAAATGGCTTCAGGCCTAGAATCCAGAGCTCAGATGATGCCAAAATATACATCATGCTGTCACTTAGCTTCGTTTTCTTTGGCTTTGACTTCATTTGGATAACTTCTTGCCATGTTGTATTAGTACAGCCAGGAATGCAGTCCATGTACTTAGCAGCTTTAATGTCAAAGCTGCTCTTTCTTAACAATTCCAGTAAAAGTTTTTCATCTGAGTCTCCTGGGCCTGGTGTGGGTCACATGCTTGTCTGAACCAATCATATGTCTCAGTTGAATGGGCTTTTCTTATTGGACAAATTAAATGTGTGCTCCTCTCTGGAGCCTTTCAGTGTCACGGGTGGAAAAAATGTTAATGTGCCTGAATTGCACATGCTGAAGATAGAGAAGGAGTGGTGATGTACTGGAAATTAAGGTGCTGTTTCCCAAGAGCGAATGACTGCAGCGCGGGCCCAAACAATAAATGCATACTCCAATAAAGAGTCAAAGAGAAAGGAAAAAAAATGAGAAAACAAAGTATTCTTTCAAAATTGTATATATGTGTTACTATCAATCCTATATACCGAGGACACAGAAGTAAACAAAACAGACAAAATTCTATATCCTTGTGCTGTTTCTTCTGGTAGGAGAGAAAGAATTATGTGTTAACCTCAGGCAAAATAATTGGTGTGTTGGTCTGTCTCAGATGCTATAACAGAATGTCACGCTCTGGGTGGCTTATAAACAACAGAAATTTATAGTTCTTGAGCCCGAGAGTCCAAGATCAAGGTACCAACAGATTCTGTTTTTGATTACAGCCCACTTCTTAGCTCCTAGTCATCTTCTCATTGGGTCCTTACATAGTGGAAGGGACAAGTTAGCATTCTGGAATCTCTTTGATAAGGACACTAATTTCATTCAGGAGGGCTCCACCCTTCTGGCCTAATCACCTCCCAAAGGCCCCACCTCCCAACACCATCACATTGGGGGTTTGGACTTCAACATGTGAATTTAGGGAACATAAACATTAGGTCTATAATGATTAGTATAACATACTTTATAATATGTAAACTATTTGAATTGAAGTTTGGTTCAATACTGATTTAATTCATTTCTCACTTCCACCCACTATGTTATTGAGAACAAACTATTTTGCTTTTCTTCTCCTTACAATTGATTACTGTCTATAATAGTTACAAACCTCTGAAAACACAGTAACAGAATTTTTAAACTTATAGTATACATTATAGTATGTTTACTTTTATTAGTAAAGATATTAATTATTTTTGATACCTCTTGGGGAACTCATTAGATGTTTTCTAGAAAGCTTTTTCCCGTTCCTGGACTAGTGTTTCCATGATAATAATATGACTTTGTGGCAAAAATAAAATTAGTTTTTACCTTTCTGTCATTTCTACCTCTTAACCTACCAGGGTACATCTTATAACAAGGAAATTCTAAACTATTATTCCTTGTATTCTTGATATTTCTTGAAATAATTATTTTCTTTTTTCTAAAGAAATAAAAATAAAATTATTGTTTAAAAATCTTAGGCACTCTGAGAAAGAAGTGCTGGCTGACTCTTACACGTCTCTTGATGACTCTTAAATCATTAGAACAGTTCATTCACAGCAGTTAACAAAGAGGAAATGTGTAATGCACAGGACACTCTGATTAACTGTACTCCATGAACGTTTCGTGTGGAGCTGGGAGGAAACTCCAGTTAGCTAAAATATTAAAGAGACTACTGTTCTAATAGTATATCATCTTCCGGGGATAATAGGTTCTTCCTGAGTCTGATTTAACACCCTGTTCCTTCCAAAAGAGGGAAAGGATATAAGTTAACATGAAAACTTTTTCTTTTAAAATCTATGCTCAAACTCATTACAGGGATATGAATTCCTTTCCAAATTACAAATAAGTACAAAATACCATACTTAAACCATTGTATACAAATTAGAAGCAACATATTCTTACAACTAGAAATATGAGGAAATTCCTAAACTCTCACATTATATAGCAGAAAAAATGTATCTTTTTATTAATCCTCAATTTAGGCCACATTTAAACTTTGAATGAAAATATATATCCTACACTTAAAACCTATTTGTAAGTAAATAAATCTCCAGCATAACTGCTTATGTAATGTAAAATAACCTTTATGGCATGAATTTTTCCCTCTGCTGTCCATACTTAGCATTTGTTTTCTAAATATTTACTCATCTGTCATATTATTTATAGAGGACATGATCCTCTTTATGATGTGAAGCATGATATTTTAATTAACGATCTTCTGCTATTGAACCTGATGGAGAATCTTTAATTTTCCATGGACTATATACTGGTTTAAGATTAATTTATCATGCTTGTTTTTTACACTACATAATGTATTTGTCCCATATTGTTGACATAATCTGCTTTATTCAGATGACTGATGACATCTTACTTATCTATCTTTATACTTGATGGACACAAACAATTTTTTAAATGTTAATCAAAACTTTTAAATTACTTAGAAATAAATGTGAAAAATCTCTATAATCCAATACCATATTTATTCATTATGTACTAAGGAAAATTATGTCTATAAATTATTAAAAGAAAATGTTTCATCATGGAATTGATATCAAAATTATATGACAGTGACCCTGGCCAGTGTGGCTCAGTTGGTTGGAGCATTGAACTGTATACCAAACGGTCACAAGTTCCAGTCCCAGTCAGGGCGCATACCCTGTTTGCAGGTTTTATCCCCGGTCAGAGCATGTACAAGAAGGCAACTGATCAATGTTTTTCTCTCACATCGATGTTTCTCTCTCTCCCTATCCCTCTCTCTCTCTCTCCTTTACCCTCTCTCAAAAAGCAATAAAAAATGTCCTTGGGTGAAGATTTAAAAGATTACATGACAATTTATTTAATTATTTTTAAATCTATTTTTTTCAATTACAGTTGACATACAATATTATGTTAGTTTCATGTGTACACCCCAGTGATTAGACATTATATATCTCACTAGGTGATCATCCCAAGAAATCTAGTATCTATCTCACACCATACATAGTTATTAGAACATTATTGATTGTATGTCATATGTGGTACTTTATATCCCCATGACTGTTCTGTAATAACCAATTTGTACTTCTTAATCCCTGTACCTTATTCACCCATCCCCCAAGCTCCCTCCCACCTGGCAACCCTCAGAATGTTCCCTATATCTATGAGTCTGTTTCTGTTCTGTTAGTTTATTTTTTTTAGATTCAATTGTTAATAGGTATATATTTATTGACATTCTGTTGTTCACGTATCTTCTCCTTCTTCTCCTCTTCCTTCTTCTTCTTCTTCTTCATCTACCTTTTAACATTTTGTATAATACTGGTTTGGTGGTGATGAACTCCTTTAGCTTTTTCTTGTCTTGGAGGCTCTCTGTATGTCCTTTGATTCTAAATAATAGCTTCTGTGTAGATTAATCTTGGTTGTAAGTCCTTGCTCTTCATCACTTTAAGTATATGTTGCCAATCCCCTCTGACCTGTAA